ACACCAAACCCTCCACTGCTCTCCCCTCATACACCAAACCCTCCACTGCTCTCCCCTCATACACCAAACCCTCCACTGCTCTCTCCTCACACCCAAACCCTCCACTGCTCTCCCTTCACACACCAAACCCTCCACTGCTCTCCCTCCACACACAAACCCTCCATTACCCTTCCCTCACACCCAAACCCCCCCCCCATTACCCTTCCCTCACACCCCAAACTCTCCGGTCACTGCTCCCCCCGTATCCCTGTGCGCGCGCAGCCGGAAGACCCGCGCGCGCCCCGCCCCGCCCCGCGCGCCGCCTATTTAGCGGGATCCCGCCTTGGAACTCGCTCTTTCCGAGTGGGACAGCAGAGGGTTGATCGAGTCTGCGTGCCCGGGAGCCGGGGTGCGTGCCTCGGTGGGTGCACGGGTGGATGTGACGGGGCTCTGCGGGGGCYCCTTTCGGCGGCGGATCCCGGGGTGGTGTGTGGGAGCGGGGGAATGTCCGGGCGCGGGGCGTGCCCCTGTTGTTCCGTGGCGCGGGAGCTCCGCCGTGCTCAGGCCTCGGGCGTGGGAGCGGCAGCAGCGGCCGCCGAGTCTGATGCGTGTRACTKGAGGGCARATTTAGGTTAGATATTGGAAGGAAATTSTCTGCTGYGAGCGTGGTGAGGCCCTTGCAACAGGGAAGTTGTGAGTGCCCCAGTCCTGGTGGTGTTTAAAGTCAGGCTGGATAAAGGCCTTGAGCAGCCAGGTCTGGTGGGCCGTGTCCCTGCCCTTGGCAGGAATGCGGTTGCGACTAGATGTGATCTCTGAGGCCCGTTCCATGACCTTAAGGTTCTGTGATTCCGTGATCCTACCATGTGGATCCGTAGTGATCCGCGTGATTCCGTCAGAGCTGCCCGTCYTCTGCTGTGCTCCTTGGAGCAGGTCCTGGCTCGGCAGTCCAGGCACATGCTCATCTGAACAGTGGAGTGATTTCTGGTCTTCTCAGAGGCATTAGAAATGCCCCGGGTGGTTAGTGTGAGAAATCCCGACGTGGCAGGTCAAAGCAATGACTGTCATCTCAGGAATTGCAGGGATGTTCTGCTGGTGTTCTGCTGGTGCTAAACAGCCAAAGCTATCACTTGAAAGAGGAGTTATTGTCATGTGGTTGTAACTGTGCCTGTGTTTCTCCTGCTTGCTGGGGTGATATTCCAGCCACAGAGGCTTCCCAGGAGAGTGGGAGACTGAGATGGACCTAATTAGTGTGTGCCATGTGGTGGTTACTTGGAGTTGTCTCTTGGCTCATCAAGTCTTAAAAGCACTGACAGATTGGACATTCAAAGACACTTGGTTTTGCTGACAGATCGTTTTCATCAGCAAATGCCTGTCATAATTCAAAAGATAAATTACCTTCTTTTTTCTTGAGGGAATTGGGCAAGGGCTGTGTGGTGACCCAGACCATGCCCTTTTTTGGGTTGTAGGCACAGATCCAAACGATGGGTTCTGGCAGGGACAGGGCTCCCGGGTATCAGCAGCCTCTGGGGTAGTGCTCTCCTGGCAGGACGCAGTGTGAGTGCTGACCTCYGTTCAACTGGTGGTAGAACATCAGTGAGTTCCCCAGAGTGTCACACATGGACTGGGGTTAAAGGCTGTACCTTGCCGGGGTGCTCCTCTCCTCAGTCTGACTGGTCATTAGGAGCACTGTGCTCATCCTGCAGTCAGTCATTCCTCACATTGGAGCTTGTTTTAGGAAAACGGTTATGCCTCTGCTTAACCTTGATCTTGCCTGATGCTCTTAGTAGTTTTCTCCCCAGGTAATTATAAAGCAAGCATGAGGTTGGTGTTTCTTTGACTGGTTTACTGTCCCCAAAGAAGTGTTAATGCTTTCTGCTACTGGCTCAGCAGTGGAGCTCTCTGAATTAAATATCTTCTTTTCATTGTTTCAGGTGGAAAGTGAAGCTCAAGATGTGTTTGTTACTGGCTTTGGGAATCCTCAGTCTGGACTCTGCCATGCCTTGCAAGCAGAAAGACGCCACGTGAATTCTGAAGCTGCAGAAGTAAATATTTCTTACTGTACTTAAGGATCTTGAGGAAAGCCTCATGATTATGGCAGCTATAAAATCTCCTAAGAGTTGTCCCCCATAACAAAGCAGGTGCAATCCAAGAATCCCAAAGGAGTCAGAAGGGAGAGGTTTGTATCAGAGAATCTGCTTTTTAACTGTGGAAACAAGGCTTCTTATTTAAGAATTAGTGGATGTTAGTTGAAAGTGAGAGGATTAAGTGAAGAACTGTGTTCAGATCACAATCCATGCTGGCACTTGTGTCTGTCTTTGAATACATTCCAAAGGGAAAGGTGACTGGTAGTGAACTTTACCTCTAGAAAGATGCTTGGCATCTGGGGKTTGAATGTAAGAGAGGGACCTATGTTTTTGTGCCCAGAGAAAGCCTTTTTTTCTCTTGTTCTTTGCTATACTGAATCTGTTCTGTGCTTAACAGTTAAAACCAAGGTTCTGCCTCAGCTTATAGAAATAGAACTCTTAGGACAAACTTAACCCACTCCCTTGTATTTTGGCACTTGGAGAAGGCAGTCTTATCCATATGCAGGAAACTGCTGGCATAATGATGATAACACTTTGCCGTTTACCCAACTGAATGTTGTGTTGAGCAGTGTGGTATATCTGATGTGCCAGTTAATCAGTAGGGTTTTTCCTTTTTGATTTGCTCCTGTCATTTCTGATTTTGTTTATTCTTTTCAAGGTTTTGTGATATCAGATGATCATCTCTACTGTCTTCCAGCCTCGTGCGTGCACACAGAGCAAGAAAGAGAGTTCACCCACTTCTAGAAGTGCAGGTGTTCAAGAAGGTCAGTTGCTTTTTTGTTGTCATAGTACTCAGTACTCCAGTACTCAGGCTCCTGCAGTACTGCCATCCAGGGAAAGCCTGATCTGGCCATGTTGGCCTCTGTCCATTCCTTGTGATACTGCTACAAGTCTTTCAATTTTCAAGAGATCATGGGAGAAACTGAGGAGAGGCAAGGATAAAATGTTGTGCTCTTTTTGCAGAAAATSCCYTAATATTGCTTCTCAAAAATAGTGRTTGATAAAGGGATTCTATTTCAGTCCACTCTTAAGAGTAATTTTGCTGGCATAATGATGAGACTTTTTGCCGTTTACCCATCTGAATGTTTTTTGATGTGTATCTTTGAATCTGAAATGCCAGTGAGGGTAATGCCTTTGTATAAGGTTGATCAAGGGCACAGGAAACTAACACTATTATTGTTACTGTTCTTAGCTTGAAAACAGCAGCCTGGAATGTGGAGTTCTAATGCACTTGGAAATTCTTCCCATTGCCCTTCCTGCTCTTCAGAAATACTGCTTGGTTCTGTAGTATGGCAGGGGAGTAGCTGTTCACTGAAAACGTCTGAATAATCCTGGAGTGAAGTTCAAGGCAGAATGTCGCTGTAGAAGAAGAGGCTTTATAGGCACTCTTAGAACTTTGTATGAATATTTGAGTGTGTCAAATATATGCATCAAAAGTGAATAAAGCAAGGTTTAAAATGTGGGAAGACCTGTGTTGTCTGAATTAGAGTTTACAATGTTAGTAGTGGAAATTAATAAAATCTTAAGTTTCTGTTTTCAGTGACTTGATATTTTTTTTTTTTGTTGTTGAGGGTATGGGAGTAGTAGCACTGTGATCCTGCTGGATGTCATCCTGGGTAGGAGTTACACAAGCCTTAAGTATTCAGCTTGTCCAGATTTGACAGGAAGTCTGCAAATTTACTGCTGCTTTTTATTTAATGTGTATCTCTTGGATTTAGGACTTGCTGAGGATTATGTCTAGTGCTGTATCCTTACTAGGATGATGAAATACTGGAAAACCCAATACTGGGGAAGCATACTGTGCTTCAAACGCTTCATCTTTTACCACACCATTGTTCCCACTTGTTTTTACAGWGAAGTAAAGCTGAATTCATTGAGCTGCCTGTCTGCCAGGTAGTCTACTATTTTTTTACCTGAGTGTAGGACTCTACTATCCCCTGCAGTCTATATAAAATAATGTGTAAACACTGGATTTTGCAGGTTGAGGTGTTCCGGTGGGTTTCTTTTGTGGTTTGTTACTTTTGTGGGCTTTGTTGTTGTGTTTGGGTTTGGGCTTTGGTTGCAGGAGCATTCAGCATCCTTGTCTTATCTCATGTTGCTGTAAAGTAAAAAAAGACACAGAACATGAACCAGTATGATAACACTTTTATGCATTTAAAAACCTATACAGCATGAGTAGTTAAAGACTGTTGATGTAAACTAGGAAAGATTTAACTTTAAACTACTTAACCCTCGGTGTGATACATTTAAAAAGAAGCAACAAGAAAAACTGCAGAATTCAGGTCGTTGAAATAAAACATTGGATTCTGAACTGGTGGTTTAATTTTTAGTTGTAACCTTATTAAAAATCCTGAATTCTAAATTGCTTCTCATGTAGCTGTCAATGAAGAGTGGTAGCCAGGAAGAGAAGTTCTGGTTAGGACTGTATTCTGAAGCCATGGCCTTCCAGGATGAAGACATCCCTCCTGCCTTCAAAGAACACTCTCAGAAAACTTGTAATTCAAGTCCTGTTATTCCTTGGTGAAACAGCACTGAACTGTCTTCTATAATTACTAAGTTTTTAGTAATTTTCTATTTCTAACCAGTCTCGAAAAGTCAAACCTTCAGGCTTTACTTGGAGTGGAGTTTTTATTCTTCATTAGTGTTAATGTGAATTCCTGGACTATAAGCAGCAATAAATTTCAGCAGTTGATGGTGACATTGCATGAGGTAAATATCTCTTTCTTGCAGGGAGTTTTCATCACTGAGGTCAAATGGAAATACAGGATTTGGTCCTACACATAATACAGATGTACCTAAGCAAAGAAGAAATGTAGGSTGAAAGACTTACTATTTGGTGGTACTTTGAGGGGAAAAAAAACCGCTGTGATGTAAATTACTTAGTACTGCATAGATGATAATTTTTACYTTGCTTCCAAATCTGTGTGAACAAATGTGACTGATGCTTGATAAACAAAAAAACTTCCAACCCTTGTTTTGGGTTCCCCCAGGGCGGGAAATTTGTCCTTAATTTAACCTGAGCCAGTTGCTGAGGAGCAGTGCCTGAAGGACAGACTTGGTGCTGGCCTGTGGCCTCATTACATACAGCACTGAGACTCAGCAGACAAGTCAAACTGACAGACTTTTACAGTATCAGTCTTCAACAGTGCAAGTTCTGGATTTTGATTTTAAATTAATTCTTATTGCAATCAGTGGATATAAATTTTAAGACTGACAAAATACGAAAGCGATGCGCCCAAGAATAAGGATTGAGTTGCATTATTTACCRTGTTTTAGCGTCAGTGATGACTCAAGTAACAAAATTGCAATCACTGCATCTTCCTCAAGTACTGTGTGTCTTAAACTGAGCTTGGCATGAGCCTTAGACAGTGAAATCCTAAAAGATCAATAAAAGCATGTCAGAAATAAATACTGCAGGTATGAATGCAGTGTGTSTTGCCGTGTTTCAAGCACTTCTGTAAATTAAAAGTTAACAGAGGTGGTTTTATTCATACTTGAACTGTGCAGTTACACTTGTCATTGACAAAATACATACACATCATTTTTTTGTGCTAAAAAATATTATTTGCATACTATCCATTACTACAGTGTTTGCTCCCATAACAAAGCTGTGCATATTAAAATCCCATTTTTGTTTTTTTAAATAGCTTAATTGTAATACATGTTTTGTAAATAGCTAGGTTTTTTTTTGGTTTTTTTTTTGCCTGGCAAAATTGTTTAAACTTTGGTTTCTTGTTAAATGGTAAATGAGATTATTTGTGCTTCAACTTTTGAAAACACTAGTCTTATCTAGATTTTTTTTATTAAATAAGCTCCTGAGMAGATAAGGGCATTTTCTGTTTGAAACTGTGAAAAGTAGGACATACAGAATTTTTAGTGCAGATGCTGATAGTGTTGATCCATGAATGGAATCTCTTCTCACCCTGCGACTTGCTAGGTAGTAACCCTGAATGAGGTTTTCTGCTTCTGAACTCAGTTTAACATGAAGATTCCTAGCAAATAAAAYAAACTGGAGAGAGGGTAGACGTTTTAAATATTGAACTGGAAAATAATTTATTTTTTCACACTTTTTAATATATGAGTGGCATAGTAATACATGCTAGACAATAGATTCTACCAATAGTTTTAATAGTAAAGATGTCACCATTTAGCTATGCTGAGTAAGGAAAATATTAAGGATAATAATAAGGACAGCTCTTGGATAGTAAATAGAATCATAGAATGGTTTGGCTTGGAAGGCACCTTAAAGATTATCCAGTTCTGACTCTCCTGCTATGGGAAAGGACACTTTCCACTAGACCAGGTGACTCAATCCCCCATTCAGCCTGGCCTTGAACACTTCCAGGGAATCATCTGTTACATACTACAGATAGTGACAATTTATTTAGAATGGAATATTAACTTCTACTACTGATTGTAAACTTTTTGGTCAAAAATATATATTGGAGATCTGTTTTCATATGAATATCAATCTCGCATGTTTTCCAGAAACATGACCAAACTGAATTTATTMTGCTGACCCATTTCAAGAACTGAAGCTGCTTTTATTGATCCTAGTAGTGCTAGTGGGAAGGTGGTTGGGGGAAGGGCAGAAAGTGAGCATTAAAAATAAGAAGATTGTGCAGAGAAAACCTAATGCCAAAACCAGATATTCACAAACAAAATGCATTTCTGAATTATTGTGTATAATCTGTTACCTCCTCGTAATCCTGTGTTTTGAACTGCTCTGAGACTTTGTACAGCATGGCTTCAGGATTAATGGCTTTTTTCAAGGTATGATGTACAAGAGGAGAAGACAGGCGACAGGAAGAAAACTCATTGTAGATCAAGAGCCCAAAATCATCTACAAGGTTGACTGGAATTAAACTCATATCCTAAAGAGAATACCCGTAGAAAGAAAACAATTATTTTATTTTGGGCTTTTGACTTGTAGGAGCATCAGTGTTTTCCATCTGAAATATCCTCTATCCACTTACACTGCAAGATTATCTAATGAATTACCTGTAATACTTAATAAAATGTTGTTTCTACCTACTTCTGGGAAAGCTGTCTCATATTAGAAGATTCTTGATTTAAAGTTATTAAAATTGTGACTTTTTGGGAAATACTAAGAAATTTTATTGCTTCCATTATTTTATAGATGGAAATAATCATAAACACAAATGACAGCTATAGTACAGTTCCTTTCATAACAAGGCAYGTGCTTTACCATCTGTCCAATGAGAAAGTTCTCTTTTTGTATATGTTTCTTCGAGGAAGAATCCACATCTACAAAAGACCAAAAGTTGGTCTGAACTGAAATAGTAACTTGTTGGTCAGCCTCTTCTCCGTACTTCTTCCCAGGAATAAATACTGTTGTAGTTCTGCTCTCTAGCACTAGAATAAGACAAAATTCATCAGTTACAGTTATAAATTCTAGTCCCACACAGATCTGAAATCAGTCATGATTATGATTTTGCTGAATTGTTACAATTAATGGATGGCTGTAGGGTAGCAGATTGAAGTTTACAGGACATTGCCTTATTTTGTCCTTGTGTCTTATACAGACTCATTAAAAACAGCTTACAAATTTWGGCAGCATTTGAGGGCCATAAGCTGGGGAACAAACCTAGCCATGAATTAGCATAATTGTTTAGTTCTGCCCTTCATTTGTAACGAGGTGGGAGATTACCAGACTGTAGAAGTTCAAGTTTATCCTTTTTATAKGAACATAAGTCTCCTATGTAACAGATGCCACCCTTGGCCAGCACAGCACTGCAGGCTTGAATACTGGCACTTCCAGTTCCGTGTTTATCTTTGGACACAGAAGGAAAAATTTCACTAGAAGGTGGGTGTCGTATGCCACGAGGCAGAAGACATAAACTGTAATTCAGAAGCCTGGAGGATTAAATAATTCTGTCAGTCATAAATTGTTAAATTATTCACGTGTAAAAAAATTACAACAGTAAGTATTGACTCAMTTAGAAACAACAACAAAAAACCCTTAACATGAAACCAGCATGAAATTGAAATGTTTAACTTTGAATACAAAAGCAGAGGTCCAAGCCTACTCTAACAGCTGTCATCAAGACTGTATTTCTTATGGATTAAACTTTAGGCAAATCATGGTTTCCAGAARTAATTTCTAGGAAATCAAAGAAGTCTTGTAATTTAACCCCACACGGTTAACTCCTCTTTCTATTCTTGAGAAATTTTTCTAGTGATTTAAAAGGTTATAGGATTAGTAATTCTGGCCATCTGGGAAAAAAATGCTGGAACTTGTAAGCTCTGCTTTCCTGAGTTATACACCCTCCTCCAATTCTTTTAAAGAAAGAAGGTATAGAATATCTTTTTCATCCCCTGTACTATGTTCTTTGGCACAGGTTGCAAATTGTCTGTCTGGTTCCACAATCAAAGGCTTTTAATGATTTTAAGATGTCAGCATGATTTGTTCTACTATTACGACCTGGGAGAAAACTGKTRAGTAAAATCAGTAAGAATYAGTAARTAGGGTATTGCACCAATGGAAATAYGTAGGAAATGCCTACTTTGACAGGCTGCTGACAGTGAAATGCTGTGCACATGCAAGACAGCACAAATTACAATMTTGATTATGATTTACAGTGCACAGTTGTTTTAATACTAACCAGATGTTTTGATTCTTAAAAACACTGAACTCCTGTTTTTCTTAAGAAATCTTAACCTGGGAAAAAAGCAATCTTGCAAATGACATTTTTTAAAATTTGAACTCATTTCTACAGCTAAATTTTGAAGTGGTCAAAGTTTTGGGGTTTTTTTTCACAACAAAAATATTAGTGAATTTGTTGAAGAACTTCYAAATGATTATAAAATTTATGCCACTTTCAGAGATCTTTTTTAAGTTATGGAAGGAGAAAGCAATTTTGTTTAAATTAATGTAACTGTAACGCTGAGCATATTGTACTTTTCTGCAGTGTTTGTAATATTGTGTTAACAGTTTATAGTTTCCTCAATAGGTAAATACATTAATTGCATAGAGAAAAATATTTAAAGACAACAATCAGATTTATAATCTATGTGTAAATATGTGAATTTTGATAGCTTATTGGTTTCTATGAAAAAATGATAAAAATGTAGGGATCTATTTATATTTATTAAAAAGGCTGATAGCTGGGAATCAATGA